TATATATATATATAATATATATATTATATATATATTGTTGTGTTCCAGGCAATGGGGATATAGTGGGAAGTAAGATGGGATGGATATGGTCTCTTCTACATGTAGGTTATAACACCTAGCTTCAGGTTCTTTGCTTTAAAAGTGAAAAGATTGAACTAGATGGTCTCCAGATTCTTTGATCATTTACTGGAATAGCATAAAGGTAGAAAAATGGCAAAGAGGGGGAACTCTTGTATATCTCTTCTATCTTCTGTGATTTAAGGGAACAAATATGTGAAGTTCTTGAGAAGGCTTCTCTCAGAATATGCTATGGAAGGTAAGTTAAACTCTTTGGGTTATGTTTTCTCTTACTCTTTATCCTACTTCATCCTTCTTACTCTTCATCCCAATAAAGTCAAATGGCTCAAAACATTTTAATTCCTTCACAAAAACCTGCATCACAACTTAAAGACAAATCTATTTGTGTATCTATGTCAGGTGTTATAAGCCATTTCTAAGTATCCCACTCAATCAGGAAAATAACAAAATTAAACATGATTAACATCTTTGGAATCTTAGTCAAGATTCAAAAATTCCAAACGCATAGCTGTGGTGCTCAATGCCAAAAGGAGGCCACCTTCTGCCCTCCAAGTGAAAGCATTCTCCATTGTCCCATTCTAAGAAGGATGGAAATAATATAAAAATGTAAACTTTTAAACTCTCAGTGTATTGTCTTCCGAAGAGTTCCTGCATCTTCTTCTGCCAAGAGAAAGCCTTTGCTGGAGATCTGTTTATTTTGTTCATTAATATATCTTGATTTCAGGGGGATAAAAAAGTCCTCATGACCTTGTTCTAAGCAAATGATTTTTCCTCCTTCAGAAAACAAGATTTTGGTGAAGCAGTTGCCCAGGCTTGTGGTGTACAACAATGAGGTCAACCTTAGCTGCAAGTATACTCACAACCTCTTCTCAAAGGAGTTCCGGGCATCCCTTTATAAGGGAGTAGATAGTGCTGTGGAAGTCTGCGTTGTGAATGGAAATTACTCCCATCAGCCTCAGTTCTACTCAAGTACAGGATTCGACTGTGATGGGAAATTGGGCAATGAAACAGTGACATTCTACCTCCGAAATTTGTTTGTTAACCAAACGGATATTTACTTCTGCAAAATTGAAGTCATGTATCCACCTCCTTACATAGACAATGAGAAGAGCAATGGGACCATTATCCACGTGAAAGGTAACACGCAAATCTACCAGTGCACCACTCTAAAGTAATGGTTTTCAATGGCAGTCTTGAAAACTAGGTCATGATCAGTGACTTCCCAAAGAGGAAGTCTGCACATTCTAAGCTAGTGATATTTTGCATATTTTGATTCATCTCCCGTTCTTCCATAATGTTCAGAAGGAAGGAAATGTACTCAAGTGCCATTCCCATGTCATTTAACACACTCTATTCTATTTTTCAGAGAAACATCTTTGTCCAGCTCAGCTGTCTCCTGAATCTTCCAAGCCATTTTGGGCACTGGTGGTGGTTGGTGGAATCCTAGGTTTCTATAGCTTGCTAGCAACAGTGGCTCTTGGTGCTTGCTGGGTAAGAGAAGCAACACTGCTTTTGTGTACCTTTTCCACTACACATGTAATCTGAACATGTTCAAGAACTGTGCCTGTGTGGTTTATTTTCTGTTTAGCATGTGATTGTTACTATTATTGCTATTTTTTCCCTGCTAGGTTTGAGTAGGCTCTCTTTTAGCTTTCAACTGTATTGGAGATGAAAACCTAATGTGAATTCTAGTTTTTAGAAGGCATTAATTAGGTGGCCAGGCAGAATAAGAAGCTAAATGGGTACATTGAGGGTGATGGTTGGGAGTCTTAGGGCCAGGTACTTTTCTTCTCCCCATTTTGCAATATCATTATGACACGTAAAATAGCTTTAATATACATATATGTATAAGAATCTAAGCAACTTGGGAATCTAGGCAATGAAACCAATGAACAATTTTGGTTCAGGGTCAAAAATTGTGAGAAATTTGGCTACTGAAATTATGCATTCTGCATTCAAACCTAGCAAAGAAACTAGGTCTGTTTATCTGAGTCATATTTTTATCTCCTCTGAAGCAGTTGAATTTTGTGAGGCCAAGTATGGTTGCTGTCATTATGAAACTATAATGGGAGTTAGACTTTTCTGAGCTCTCAGCACTGAATTAGAGTTTGCCAACTTGTGCAAATGTTCAAGTAACAAACTTGGCATATTTTTCTTTACCTTCTTCAAAATTGAAGTTTTGAACATATCTTGATGACTGTATTTACTGTTACATTGGGACTCCCTTACCAAAGGGTCTTTCCCCTTACTCAGAAACCTCCCATTCTCATGTACATGGTGTGGGACAGAGTATCTCCTGCTTTGATTCCATGTTGTCTTTGAATTTTTTTCTATAAGTCAGACGCATGTATGAGTCATGTCTTCAATAAGAAATGTTACTCCTCCAGGACAAAGGATTATTTCTCTTGATATTCACCATCCATCTGGTATTAAGCATATTTAATGCTTAATGAGCGCTTGTCAGATTGTTGAATTGATAACCCCCATAAAGGTCTTTAAGGCATATTCCACACATTTAACTAATCTACACATGGGTCAGTGAAAACCATGACAAGTGGAATCATCCTATTTACTATAGCATTGTTATAGTGTTGGGGTGGTGGTGGTAGGTGGAGGTGAGGAGGGCATCCCCGGATTCATGGTCATGTCAATGATAGATGCAGCCCGAGATCCTTTTAAACTTCGTTGGCCTATTACCAAAGTTTGCCTCTCCATCCTTCCCATTCCCCACATGCATTGTGAGAGATTCTAAGGGCAGATGGACATTTGCTAAGCTGCCTGTTGCCTAATCTGTACCTTCTGCAGGGTAGGGAACAAAGTGGCTACTTTTTCCTGGAAATCCTTTATACTAGATATCAAGTTGATATTTACCTGTCTTGCCTTCTCTAAGTTGCCCAACCCTGAGAGCTTTTTATGTAGAGAAAATTGCCTAAATTCTTCCTCTGATGTCAGTTGAGTCCCTCATCTTTCTGGATCTTGGTGTTTTCATACAAGGTACCTTCCCACTTTTGAACCTCTGTGGTACTTGCCAATGATTTAGAATGTAGAACCTTAGTCCTTATTTTTATCCCTTAGGAATTTCAATGTCTTAATCTAAAATATAGGTGCAGCGGCTTTTTGGGTACATCTCCAAGACAGGTGCTCCCCTATAATATGCTGACTTAGGTCAATGTAATTTACCAGCTTCCCAGGAGGTAGTTTTGAGAATTACTTTAACTTTCAGTGGTCAGAAGGGTGTTGCTCATCATTTAAAACTTACTGTAAATACGCATTAGAATATCAGTTACTATTATCAGGCACTAATTCCAGGCTCAGTGACTGGGACTGCCCAGAGGAACAAAGCCTGCTTCTCCTTTTCAGTGAATTTAAATAGTTTACTTTCAAATTGGAAACATCATAGATGCTATGGGCTTTTCTTTAGTAGCACTACTTGCTTTGTCTTGATAAAACTTATTTTAGTCTTATTCTAGTTCATAGGTTCCCCGTGAATTAGGAAGAGCCAGTTGTTGGCATAATCTTATATCCTGTGGTCTCTTGTAGTCAGGTTGTCCAATAAGAACTCTTTATTTGCATCTCAACCTAGATCTTTATACTCTCTGACCAAAAGGGTGTGAAATAAATATATATGTATATTTTGTAGAATAATACAGCATTTTTACCTTTGGCTCATCTTTCTTGCTGCTGTTACTATCTAAGCAACCACCAACTTGCTAAGCTAGACAGGGCATTAGGGATCCCTAGAGTTCAGCCATTTCCTGGGTCCTATTCTGGGATCCTATTTTTGACTGGTCTACATTGTGCCTTGGTGTAGCTGCTGTTTTCCCGGAACTTCCTGAGTGCTTGTGATGTGCTACCGTAGGCAGTTGTAGGTTGAGTGGGTTTCTGGGAGCAGCTGCACATTCTATCTCTGTTCTTGACCTGTTGCTGACATTTGAATAAATAAAGAGCTATCCTCTGCCAGGCTGCTGCAGAACAGCACCTGTTACTGTCACTCAATCCACCATTCACTCAGCTGAATGGTAAAACCTATTCTCTTTCTTAAAGGAGCCTTTTAAAAAACATGGTCTTCTCCACTATCAATCACAATGTAGGGAACGTAGATAGTATGTGGATAGGTAGTATCTGCCTTTAAATTCAGTGTGTTCTTGAAGACTGTGTCTTTAAGCGAACTGTCTTTTGTCTTGCTGTTGTTTTGAGGAAATAAGGAGGTAAGAGTGGGAGTGGAGGAAGGGCAAGGGAAGATAGATTGTGAAGTCACACATCTTTAGCAGACACAGCGGATTGGTGAAGGGGCAGAATAGATGACCCAGTCACACAGACACATAAGGCAAATACTCCCCACACATATAGGCATGTGCTAGATGCAGCTGGACACTACGGGTTCTGTATGGTGTTCCCAGCCATGCACGTGTCATTTCCATCCCACTTTCATGTTTATGGCTAAGTGGACTAAGTCCACTATATGCTAACAGCATGAGGGTAAGCATGGGAGCCAATTGAGCAGATCTTTCATAGTCTTTGTGCAACCTGGAGAGCCTCAGACTCAAGACATCTTCATTATTGGGGCCAGCTATAGTTTTATTTGGGTGTCTGAAGGCAAAGGCTGCCATTGGGAGTCTGTCAAGGGAAGTCCTCAGAGCTGCAGTAAGAGCTAAAATTCTTGCCAGGGTATCATTAGCAGCCTTCCACATTTATTTGGGGGCAGACGTTTCCTTGCCCTTACTCCTGCCGTGTCATAACCTTGTGCCCAAGAGAACTCTAGTCTTTCATTTATAGAAAGGATGTAGAGCCAAGATGTTTGAAGAGCAACTTCCCTCACCCACTTGGTTTCCATGGCTACTTCTCTTGAATGAATCTCCCAATTATGTCTGTTTAATGGTATGGTCTTCTTAGTTTCAGCTGGATCATTCACCCATCATTCAAATCCCAAATCACCAAAGCTGAATTTGTAACCTTCTCTTACAAATCTACTTCTCCTACTGTCTTGTCTTATATCTATGGATGGAGCAGCATCCTTCCAGGCTCCCAGGCTCAAATCATCAGTCATCTCTGGGTATGAGCAAAAAGGAAGGGACAAGCAATCCAATAATATTCATTCTAAATTTGGTCACATATTTTGTATCCATTACTTCCCTTTCACTCCATTCATTTTCATGATCAGACTCCTTCGATCATGATTTATCAGTCTTGGCACTATTGACATTTTGGGCTGGATAATTCTTTGTTGTAGGGGGCTGCCCTGTGCATCAGAGGGTATTCAGCAGCATCTCTGGCCTCTACCCACTAGGTGCCATAGCATTCTTCCTAGATGTGACAACCCAAAATATCTTCAGACATTGTCAAATGTCCCCTGGAACAGGGGATAGGGAGCTGGTTGTGTCAAGAATGAGGCTTAGGTCGTCTGGTTTGGGCAACCGTATATATGGTAATATCACCCGCTGAGATCAGAAACAATGAGAGAGGACCAGACTTTAGGGGAGGCTCTTGAGTTTCCTTTTGGACATGTTGAGTTTTAATGCCTTTGAGGTCTAGGTCAGAGATATAAATTTGGGTGAATAGTTGCAAATGGGGATGAGATTGCCTATAGAGAGAGAGGAAGGAGTGAGTAGAAGTCTATGGGGAACTCACATTGAATGACTACTTAAAGAAGGATGAGCTTGCAAGGGAAGCAGGCAAGGAGTAGCCAGACAGGTAGGATGAAAACCAGGATGGTACCATCTCACAGAAGGCAAATGGAAGAGTGTTTCAAAAAGGAGAGAATAATCATTAGTGTAGAATGTGGCTGAGAATTCAAATGATGAGAACTGAAAACATGTTAGCTGTATTTGGTAATGTGGGAGTCAGTATTTTTCCAACCTTCAACACTTGCTCCTGCCCATTTGACAACGAAGGTATGAATGGTTCATGGAGGAGTGCATGGAAATAGGCCAGGGCAGAAGTCACTTGCTTACGTATTTATTCAAGTGTTCATTCCATTCACATGCAATATATCTACTTATGCACCAGGCCTAGGTGCCAAGAAATAGACATTTTGTTTTTTCATAATAGAGAATTCTGCATTCAGAAATCTGGGTAGCTTTCTATTTCTAGAATTTTTATGGGACTTTTATCAAATATGTAAATTTTACCATCACGTTGGTTCAGAAAAGATGCTCCTAATGCCCAATCAAAACTTTTCTAAGATTTATGGCAAGTATGCTCTTGCTCTGGGTTTAGGATTGCCCCTACTTTCTTCCCTTACCCCTGATAGAAAGGGGAAGAAGGAGCAGAGTCTGAGGAACAGAGATGAAGGACACTATTGTCTTTACAGAAATGTACGTGCATATAAAAGAATAGGAATGTAAGTAGTTGTCTAGAACCATAACTCTCCACTAATTTGGACTCCACTGCTATGAATTTTATGATCATTTCAGAATCTAAGGTCCTCTTGGATTACTTAAGGAAAAACAGCTTGTTAACCAAATGACTAATGTAAGAAGATTGCAGTGGAGAAGCTCAACCTTTTCATAGGAGGAAGGGCCTTAAAGAGTATTTACATATCAACAAAGGATACGTTAATTAGATATGCTTTTGGAATTCAGATCAAATGATTGTATTAAGGGTAACATGGGTACATTTATCTAAAATACGTTGTTTGATTCCGATTTCGCAATTTGGAAGAGTCCAAAGTAATTAGGTTTGATTAGTCACTATCCAGGTCCAAGGCGCTCAATGAAGTCAGGTGTATTCAGCTTCATTTGACAGTCTATGTTCTGAATAGTTGCTCCCAAGTCTTAGAGCTCCTCCCATGACGTCTCTTTCTGTGCCCCCGCCCCCTTCACAGTGATGTTTCTCTTTTCTGCAGATGAAGACCAAGAGGAGTAGGATCCTTCAGAGTGACTATATGAACATGACCCCCCGGAGGCCAGGGCCCACCCGAAGGCACTACCAACCCTACGCCCCAGCACGCGACTTTGCGGCATACCGTTCCTGACATGGACGCCTATCCAGATGCAAGCCGGCTGGCAGCGCTTCACCTGCTCAACACAACTGCTCTGGATAGGAAAAAACTGCCTCGTCTTCAGCCGGCCACCAGCTCCCATTAGGGGCTCCTATTAGGCCAACGATGCCAATGTTTCTTGAATGACTAGACCAAATAACATTATTTTGAGGCTCTGAAATGAAGTTAAAGAATATTGCTGTGGCAGGCTCTATCTTGTAGTGCCATGACCCAAATTTCAACTTACCATGTATTTATTGACTTGATCAAGAGGTTACAGTAGAGAACAAAAAGCCAGTGGATTCTGTTAGCCTTGAAATCTGTTTTCCATTTCACTTCTTTTTCATCTCACTCACCTGAACACTGTGGCCAAGTGGAGTGTCATATGGAAGGACTTTTTAGATGGAGAAGAAAGGTTACAAAACCATTCCTTTTGGTTAAAGAGGGGTTTAGGGTGGGGGTAGGTAAGGGTGGGGGAGGGGGGGAGACTTCATATTTTTAAAATCATTAAAACACTGTCTCTCATTCATGAAATGAGCCACTAGTTCCTATTTAATACTTTTGGTTAAGAAAGATATAGACATTGTATTTTTTGTTTTTTTGTTTTTTTGTTTTTTGAATTCTGGTCATATTTAGTCCTTTGGACCAGTGGAATACCTTCAAAGCAATTTGAAGCAGTCTTGCTCTTCTTACTCCCTGCAATGGGAATTCAATGTAGTATTGACAATATGATTTGAAAAGAATAAAGCAGTCCCCCCAAACCACAGAAGAATGTGTCAGGAAATGAAACCACCCGATGTCAAAATTATTTGAATACTATGAAGTGTTATTTCTTTAGCAGATCATTCCAGTCACATCATAGAGGGGGCTTTTCTGTTCCATATATTTCAGATTTGCTGGGTTGGTCTCTTTGTTATCTGTGCAGAAATCTAAAGTGGGATGCTGAAAGCGTATCCAGAGCAGCAATGATACTGTGAAAAAGGGGTGTTAGTACTCATTAGGGTATATGGAGGATGAGTCCCAAGATGCTTCTTCTAAAGGAGGAGAATAGAAGGGAATGATGGGACTCTTGCCAGTGTGCTCAGGGAGTGGCTGGCCTCTGGTGGAAGATTTCCAGAAGACAACAGGCAAAAGGAAATGTGGCAAGAACTCCTTTACAGAGACTTTATGTGCTTTAGGGCTCAGCGCTCCAGAACTCTGTGGGTTCAGCTGTGTGTTTACCCTGGAGGTCCAATGACATGGAAAAGTATTTTGGAGTATGTCTTTTGAGTCCACATCAAAGTTCTCAAGATACTCAACAAAGCCTGACCCTGTAAAGCCTGACCTTGTAATGAGCACAGATATTTTTCTGCCTCCGGTTTGGGTCAAATGGAGTATGCCTGGGGACCTTGAAGAAGAGCTTTACTGCTGCCTTTACAATTTGTTCAGTGCCTCGATTTATTCAGACGTTAGAGGAGTCTAGGTTGTAGAAGCAGATGAAATAGATCTTGTCCAAGTCCCGTTACTAGTTGGCCTCAGGCAAGTTGCTGACTTTCTAAGACTCTGGCTTTTCAACTATAAAATGGAGGTAATGATCATAATGTACTGGACCAGTGATGTACTGCTCTGTCCCTATACTATAATCTCCATCAGGGCGTGGCCCAAATTTGTCCTTTTTTCATGCTTGTCCCTGATGCTTAGTACCATACCTGACAAATAATGTTAGCTATTATTATTATTGCCATATAAATTATGTATAAAGATTAAACTGGGAAATGTCCCGAGAAGGGGAAGAATATTGTAACACAAATTTAAACCCACTACCCAGGGATAAGGTGCTATAAAATTTGAGAATCTCTTAACTTCTGCCATTTTCCTGTTTTGGAATATTTTAGCTTGTAATGAAATGTACAGCATTCTGCCCCCCACTTTTATGTACAGAAAGAAGTCTTCTTTAATTTTTTTTTTTGTGTGTGTGTGTGATGTGGGGAGGGATAGGAATCCTATGATTCCAGACAGAAAATATTGTACTTCAGTTGACTTTGAAATGGGCTTCCATTCCATGAATATGATTAACCCAAAGAAGGTCAAACTCGCTAGTACTTGGGTGACAAAAACTCCTGAATTTTTACTGGCACGTGTGCTGCATTGCCAGCCTCTTGGCACACAGAGTTCTTTAATCCAAGTGACTGGATTGGATTTGAAAATGATAGAGCTAGAGAATTTTTAGAAAGGGCAATGTCAAAACATAAATTTCAAAAATGGAAAGATTTGATCTTTGGTAAAAAAAATGGTTTTATTTTCTGATGGGAAAAATAGGTCTACTAAAGATGAATCACACTTTAGATTTCTCTTACTCACTCTGAACAGAGCCAAAGTAGAAATGTTAACAGGGAAGTCCATTTTCATTATTAGTGTGAGCCAAGAAATGGTTTAAAAACAGTGGTTGGAGCAATGCTTTTACAGTTTCACATAAGGTAATTATGAAGAAAATAATGCCATTTGCTGCTATTATTGTAAGAGTCTCATAGTTAACAGTATTTCTATAATTTTTGATTGTGAACTCACTTATGTTGGACTAAGCATGCCAGTTTAAAGAGACCAAGTGTACATTATGTTCTGTGTACTCAGTGGTAAAATTACTGAACTGTCACGTACCTGTTTTTAAATTTATGCTTTAGTATTTGTCTTTCAAAGCAGGTATGCTTCAGTTTTGGCCATGAATCTGGAGAAAACTTGCTATTTAAAAATGGTGTGGGATAAATCTTTTAAAGTAAATCTCCAGTTTAGCTTTTTTAAAAAAAACCCAAACTTTCAGATAGTAGTTTTATTTCAAGCAAGGTACACTCCTGGTTTGTTTACTTGGCTTTAGTCACAATTTCTCATCAGACCAATGGTTTAGATCTTTGAGATGTCAGGCTGTGCATTTTGTGTGATGTGAATGTTCTACGAGAGACATCAAACTTTAGTCTTGACCCCATCAGTCCCTTGGGTTAACTAACGGATCCACTAGTTATCATGGCTAATTTAATGGGGATGTTGATGGTTAAATGGATGTTAGATCCCTCATTTCAGCTTTTTGCTCTGCTGGATAAGAGCCACAGCCCACCTGGGACTGAACCCAAAGTGTTAAATTCAAATACATTCTGGAGGTTAGAGATGGTGGCAGTGATGGACCCAGAACTAGGGTCATCACTGCTGTAGACCTGTAATTGACCCAAGTCAAGGACAGTGGCAAGGATTTTCTCAAGTCCTGGGCTGAGTGACTTCTCACTCTAAGCACATTTGAGGCTCAGGAAATCTCTCCTAGAGGTATATGCATACTTTCCAACATATTTCTCCTCAAACATCACAGGCATGTTTCCATCTCGGGGCTTTTACACATACTCTTTCCTTTGTCTGGAATGTTCTCTTCTGGGTATCTATCTGGCTTGCTCCCTCATTTCCTTCAGGCCTCTGCTCAAATGTTACTTTCTGCCCTAGTTAATACCCCCACTTGCCCCACCAACCCTATATACTTTCCTTGCTTGCCTTGTTACCATAGCATTTCACCATCTCTTATGCAAGATTTTTAAAAACTTATTTATTTGTTTATTGTTTGTTTCCCCAAAGTAGAATGTAAGATTCATGAGGGATGGAACTTTGTCTGCTTTGTTTATTGCCATATCCCCAGTGCCTAGAAAAGTACCTGGAATGAAATGTATATTTATTGATTAAATGAATGAACTGCATACACCTTATGTAGTAATGGTCAGCTTAAATGTACTAATCATACTCTGAGAAGGAGAGAGTCAGCTCTGTTTTCTACTTTTCTATTAATAAGTTCAAAAATCCATTTTATCAGTGAAACAGGAGGTAAAACATATATAATACACAGCCAAACTTGATGAAAGAAAACCTGATAGATAGAAGTTCATTCACATTTTAGAAATTTCTGTGCAGTGATGAAAACCAATACTGTTAGAATCATCTTAAAAGGTCATGCTAAATAAGCCCCAGACAAGAGTAAGTTGCTTTTCCATTGTAGTTCCCAAATTTACTCTTAACAGAGTATCGACCATGTTTGAAACATGACTTTAGACTGAGACTTCTAACACTGTTGCCTTGGTAGTTAAAATCCCATCTCACTATGAACTGCTACTCATTTCTCTTTTTTTTTTTTTTTTTTTTTTGACCCCAGCAAATTCTATAAATGCCTTGCCTGGCTATGATTCAAAAAGAGCTCACAGATGAGAATGCTGGGGATAGATAATTTCAGCTTCTTTATCTGTCATGCTCATAACTGAACACTCTAATGGCTTGTAACAGTTTAAAAATAAAAGACCAACAACAAACAAAATAGTGGCACTTTTAGTAAATTGAAAATTCAAATCAGATATGTTAATCACCACACACACACACACACATGCACACACACACACACGGCTATCATCTTGCAGGTAGGGGAAGGCCCTTGAAAAAGAGACACAGAGCTTGTCTGATAATTTACATAGCGGCTCCTATTTATTTAATTGCAAACTCTTCTTTGAAGGTGGCCTGAAGTTAGATAGGTGTACCATGAGTTCTTCTCCAAAGTGACTCTTCCTTGTTGAAGTGGAGCTCATTAAATTTAATAAAGGTAAACTTGAAAAAGATGAGTTTATATGCATCCTCCTACTCCAAAAAACCCTGAACTTAGCTAATCACTCATGAATTCAATTGGACAAACCAATTCAATCAGAAAGGGACAAGACTGGTAAAAACCAGCCATTAAATGTATCTGCTCAATAAGTGCTCCTTTATTGGGCTAATAAAAATAGTGTAACCTAGTTATGTAAAAAGGTTCTAGCACCTTGAAACCCAAGTTCAAAGTGAAATCAAATGCAAACTTAATAACTTTACCTAACAGATCTCCCACCATGTTCTAACTACATAACTATTGAATGATATAATTGCTCACAGCCCTGAATTACCTTTTTTTCTCTAGTCTGATAAAAAATATGGATTTTTTTAAAGCAGTATCCTTTCTCCTCTCTCATCTTGCCTGTAACAGAGATAATATATGAGTGAGAAAAATCAAAGAAACTTCTAGATCCATCATAATGGAGGCCAAACCACCACACCAGCAGCAGCAACTGGAATGGTCTGAGAGTCATTACCAGACCCTTGTTTGGTAACTTATTTGTGTCTCCTAAGTTGAGGCACTGCCTCACTCTTGACTTTTCGTCAGTGATACTCAGAAGTTTGGTTCTTAAGGAACAAATCTGCATGGGTGGATCTCTCCACTGTCTCTGATGGCATCCCAAATGAATGGATGCTTTCCCTTCGAAGATTCACAGGCTCTCACATCTTAGAAACTCAGACCACTGTCCAGAGCAGAATGTAGTACACTTTCGCGGTATTTCTTTTGTTCTTTTCAGGGTGTGTGGACACTTGGGCTCCATACTTGAAAAATGCTCGGGATGAAATACAGGCGATCCAAGAATATTTTGTCTTTTCTAAGCTGACCTCATTATTGAGACTACTCAAAAGGCCAGAATGTATGCTTTCCAAAGACCAGCTTCGTATCCTGTTTGCCTGATTAAATTGTGAAAGGTGTTGGAGTGCCAGGAATTCAAGGGGACGAAAAGTCACAGAAGGGTGAATTTATCCTAGAGTAGGGGTGGACTAGATTCTCCTTACATTGCATCTTGATAGTGCTGTCTTGATGACAGATTTAAACACTCCTCTGGCTCCAAAGAACAAGTTGTGAGAGCTGGGTGGAAATGTCAGTTGAAACAGAAGAGCAGCAAACAGCTTTGTTTTCC